AGACGCGTAAACTTCCTCAAGACACGCACTTGCCTTCAGGATCAATGGCTGAGGTTCGAATTTCGATATAGGCAAGTGCACAATCCTTTGAAAATCATAAAACATGCACAAGTACGACGTTTCGGAGATACTTTTTTTCCCCTACAAATCTACTCGGCATCGGAACTCATAAATGAATATGAATCTATAACGAAAGCAAGTCTACGATATTTCGTCTTACCTCCATAAACCTGCAATCTCTTTACCTTATTAAAATGTCTGCGTGAATCGACGTAATAACACGAGTTTGGCCTACATTTTAGGCTGGAAAGTCGACGAGGAATAGCAACCGAGTACATTGCAATGGATACTTAGATCGTTCTTGTTACAAAACACACGCTTTAAAGTCGATATAATTTATTTTCAGTTCTCTCCCTGAAGACAATGAAATAAACGCATATTTGGGGGGGGGGGGAGAGAGAGATCTTGGCGAGGTCGATACTGAAAGTTGTCCGGAAAAAATAATTTTCATTTTCATTCGTGCTGTGTGGTCTGGTAGACGTTTAACCAACGTTTCAAAGGTCCGTGCCGCCTCCATCATCAGGGCGATCGCCTTGATAAGACGTTGGTAAACTTCCACCAAGCTATACCGCTCAGCAACCCAAAAACCAGTCATCTTAGCCAAAAAATTAACCTCCACCTCGTTATCCATCACACGGAAGATACAAATAACTACTGCAGACCTGTAATTTATTTCCTAGATAATTATTTCCGTATGATCACAGCCATGAATGAATTTTAAAACTTAAAGATGAGAACCTCGTGGAGATGAATCGTGAACTTCGACCACCACCAGCTCTAACCCGGAGGAAAAGTGCAGAAGTACTCAGTATAGAACAATGAGCCACAGCGCTACAACGGGCATGGCGGAGGAAGGAAGAATCACTGCCTGGGCCGGGAATCAAACCCCAGACGTCATCTGAGCATCCAAGACACAGTGAAACTCAGATGCAGTGAAATGTCGTAATTCTTATGTCTCTAAGTAAACCCAGAGAGTAACTTTTAGATGCATTACTGTTGTCCATCAACTGGACCACATGGTCTCAGGAGGTGAGGACAAAACTTACTATATTTACGATCCGTACAACCAAGTTGCGAGGTTAAGAACGATTAGGAGCTAAACTCCCTCTCCCCCCAAGCGCCTCCTTGGCGTATAGCGGGACTATATATTTTTTTTACAACCCATTTAAACAGTCCATAATCCTGTATTATGTCCACACATTTCTTTGATTTTTAAGACGCCGTCGATTATAAATCGAGTCCCTGATTTAGTAATAGGTCTTCAAAAAAAAGTATATTATAACAAATTATCAATATTCAAATCTCAAAAAAAAAATTCGTAATAACCCTTTTTTGAGTCTGCTGTCTCATGAAAAATGTTCGTTCACTCTGGTTATACATCGTTTCTTAAGACGCCATAAAAATGGACGCAATCCGATTTTGAAAATTTTTAAAATGTCAAACAATTTCTCATAAAATCAAGCATGATTCTCTAGAAAGGCTAAGCGGCGATCATTCCCTTAAACAGTACCACGTGTTCAGAGAGACGAACTTCCAAACCGTAGCGTTAGGGATAAGAAAGATGGCGTACCACCACAAGAAGCCTTGCTTCTTCCTCTTAAAAAATTACGCGGCAATCCATCTCAGCAGCGCCTGTGTACCACAAGCTTCGTCGCCTGCCTCAAACACGTTTGTTCGTCGCGAGGTAACAACATTTTCAAAAAAGTACTTCGCCTTCCTACCCAAACAGCGATCTCACGTCCAAATTAGTTAAATCCGGTGTGAAATGCAAAGGACTTTTTTTTCACACAGGCCAATCGCATGTAACGTCCGTGTCTGTACACAAATTAACAAGTGTAATTAGCCTCAACCCCCCTCGTTAGAGGACAAAAACAACGATGTGTAATATCTTCACGCATTCTTTCCACTTTCGAATCTAAAATAAATGCGTTGTGATAACTTTGCGAGTAATTTGCCTACTAGTTTCGAAAATGAAACATAAAATCAGTAAAATGATGTTTTCGCGGCGGTGTAGTCTGGTAGAAGCTTACCGACGTTTCGGAGGTCCCTACTGCCCTCATAGCCCTGATGATGGGGGGTAGCAAGGACCTACGAAACTTCGGTAAACTTCCATCAGACTACAAGGCGTAACAGCCCAGAAGACAGCCATCTTGGAATTAATTAATAAGATTATTAAGGAAGCAATTACAAATACGTTTAATTTACATGAATACAGAAACTTCAAACTGGTTTGAAACTGCCCAGAGTAGGACCCATGGGGGGGGGCCCCTTCGTTTAGATAAAAGAACATTCGGTCTCATTACCTTTTGAAGAATACGTAGCACGAACATTTATAATATTCGATAACAAAGACAATAACTTTAAAGAATTCATTTTAGTGCACTGAAGGCAGTTTTTGAAGTGTGCCTCGATCATAACAAGCAGCTCGTATGGTCAACTTGGTGTTAATAACAAATTACGTCACCCAATTAGTATTTACGATCCAATAAACTGGTCGAAAAAATCCCTTATGTTGACGAAATTATAAAACACAGGTACCATATCCCAGGCATGAACTACGAATGAGCACAGTCAAAAATAAGGTTTTCCGTGAGCCTGGGCCTGGCTACCTACTGAACTGACCCTCCCTCCCCCCAAACAATTTAATTAATTTAATTTTCAAGGCACTCGTATATAAAAATTATAAAACAAAAAAAACATTTTTAATTTTCTACTTTTTTTTTAAATTTTGCGCCCCATACATGTACAACTCCTGGGGAATGTGCCCCACTGTACAGAAAACTAAAAAAGAAAGACGCAACAATCAGGGGCAGTTTCTAGGGGGCATCTGTAATGTACGATTATTAACGATAACAACTGCTTTATTCGCTCTCCTCAACGATTACCTCAGGTTATCAAGCTAAATACTGCAAAATTATTCCATTTTTTAATTATGCTACACTTTTGTGGAACAGCTACGTAAAACAGGCAACGTGTTTAAGCGAAAAAAAAGAGTTACAGAATTTTTGCAAGTAAGAGACTGAAGAAATTTTATCCCAGAAAATATTTGGACCTAAGAAAAGTCACTAATACGAGACAATGAATAAGACACCGTTTAATCAAGGCTACAGTGCAGATTAATTAGGGCTTCTGGTAAGCTGACCACTTGGAACACAGACGCCACGGGATAAAACATGGCAGAACTTCGAGAGATAAGTTTAAAAATGAGAGGTAGACAAAACTCGATCACGGTCTTAAACCGGGCTAATCGATGAGGTACCTTCTGGTTTTAGCGGAAAGTTATGCATCCAGATCAGACAGAACGTTCGTGACTTCACGCACAACGAAGGGAGGTTTTATTTTTATTTCGCGATAAACCCACCAATCCAAATTCTATTCTCTATTATACTACTTGTAAAGAATTGATTTTGAACATGAACTAGTCAATATAATATGAAAATATTCCACGAGGTGATCGGAATCTAATTATTTCATTAGCATTTTTCTCGACAGACTCGTATTTTGATCCCCAATGACGATAACATCGGTAGGAACACCAAGGCACAGACAAGATAATAATATTAAAACGTATCTAATGGAAATCGATTGGGAAGGGTATGTACTGATTCCATCTTACTCAGAACAGGGGTAGGTATGTCCCTTCGCGTTCCATAAAGCGGGTAATTTCTCGACAAGCTGGGCCACTGTAAGCTTTTCAAGGATGAATCTTCCACAGAGAGCACGCACAAAGCGTCCAATTAAAAATCAGCCCAACACAAAATATAGAACCTCCAACCTCCCAATGGTTAGTGGGTTAGAATGGTTTCTATTAGGGCACGTAATTTAAATGTAATCCAAATTCGGGGGGGGGGGGGGGGAATGCATAAATTAAAACAATTTATGTAAGTTCTAGGCTCTATTAATCCCCTAGTTCGGTGACCCCTACCCGTCACTATATCGTAAACATGTTCGAGCCAAAAGTCTTGGGCCCTACAGTGTAAATACAATTGCGATTCATGCAGGAATATAAATTTGTGAAAGTTGTTCCCAAAATAGTTCATTTGTGACCATGCCAAGGAAAGTTTATTATGAGAATTTATACTGCCAACAGAACTCCGTCCCAAAAACACGCACAAGTACCCGTCTATATAGCAACACCAACTCAGTATTCTCAAGGGCAAAACCACGGATCAAGAAGCCAAGATGTTCAAACTTCCTAAGGCTTATTTGTATCTTACAAGCTCCAATAAAATCCCCTCTGCGCATATCCTCTGTGTCAGGAGGACCGCAAATCAAACAACACCCTCCCATAAATCAATAAAACGTGTTAATACAAAGTATTTGCATGAAATACCAATACAAAGATTTTACAAAATTCTAACGCGTAACCATAAGTTACGCACCACAAGATACAGGAGACAACGTATTGGATTCAATTGTTTTAGCGAAAATACAAGCAAAGACGGATGATAATTTTATTCGTAACATACCGTATAGGCGTATTACTAAAAATGCAATTTAATGAAATGATTCAAACACACACACTAGTTGGGTAACAGCGGGTTAATTAACTAAACGTAAAAAAACATATATCAACACACGTACCTTAAAAATATTGCAGGGCCGATACACAGAAAACTACATTAATTAAATAAGGCCTACAGCCCACCAAAGCATGCAACATTTTCTTCTTATAAAAATCACATCTAAGCAAACACATCGCACATTCCATATTCAAACGTAATTCTGCGTGATAAGTGTAAGAAGTACAGTCATAATAATGGGTTGATGACTTACACAAGACCTACCTATAAAGATTATACACAGAGAAAATTAAAATAAATAACTTCTCGCGAGAAATCATGCAGTTATGATGAGTAATTAAACGTACAAAGCAACATCTAACACGCTTCAAAGCATCGGTTTAAACTAAGGGTTACTAAACTAAGCATGTACTGTACCTCTCGCTTCCAACTGTGCGTTGAATGATACACTGAAAACGCCATCAAAATCTCGTAGGTACACTCGTACTGTAGTTAACGGCATTATTTTTTTTAAAAAAAAATATCCATAACACGTGGGAATCCACTCTCGACGCTATAATCCGTAGCACGCACACAAGCCTTTGAACCTGGTGAAAAACTATGGAGATACGATCCACAACTATCTGCGTCCGCCGCCATCATGGTTTTCTGTTTGTGAAGGCCGCAGCTCACACACACACACACACACATAGTCGTCACATCCGGTTCTTGCCGGCGCGCGGGAAGAGGGTTAGGCTGGCAGGCCTGCTTGCTCGCTTGTAGTATAAGGGTGGGGTCAGACTCAAAACTGTGATGTCGGACTCTGATATAACGGATGTTTCTCCCGTCTTACACAAACTCTTGTGAGGGCACCACACGAACGTCTTCACAATCGACATGATCACAAATCTCAAAGCCACAAAAAAACTTTTTTCTTTCTTGAAGAGGAGCACCGAATATCCAAGCCTGCCTTTCTTTCGAGCCTCACTCATGCTCTGTGGCGACCTGAGTTCGGTACATCGATCGATTTTTGTGTATGCGCAGTAAGACCTAATCTCAACGGCACGGATATTACGTAATGCGCGCGCGTCGTAGTAGTGGCGGGAAAATGAGCCAATCGTCGCACTGCTCACTCCATCACAGGTAAGTCTCTCCGCTTTGTGACAACGACCCGCAACCCCGAAATCGTCTACAATTCTTTCGCATTTTTGTTCGCACTGGGCATATTTACGTGTACAATAGACAGCTTCTCACTTGAAAGAAGCCATTTACATAGCAGACTTCAACCCCCCCCCCCCCCCCCTTTCTTTTCTCTCTCTCTCTCTTAAAAAAAATCGTGCAAGTACGTTGCAGTGGCGTAGCACGTGCATACAGGAAGGACAATGTCCGGCCTCCACGCGATCCGTGACACAGGAAACAAATGCAACTCAATGTGACCCAGCGCAACCACTACGACGTCTTGTTCCCAACGACCATCAAACCAACAGCGACGGACGAGTCGCCATCTTCACTCAAATGATCTTGACTGATTTTAATTTACTCCTGATACAAATCTTACGCAGACAAGGCGAAACACCAGCACAGAAGAAGACTGGCTGTCTTCTGGGTTGCAGCGCGGCGGATGGTATAAGTTTACCGACGTTTCAGTGGGTAACTGCTGCTGATAGAGGCAGAAAGCACATCTGAAACGTCGGGAAAACTTGGTGCAACGACCCAGCAAACAGCAGGTGATGAAACAAGGCTTTGCAGTAGCTCTCAAGGGGATGAAAACGCGGATGGTCTTCTCGGCTGTGACGCCGTGCAGCCCTGCGGGTGGTTGCCAGGCCATCATGAAGAGGGAATCGATACTTTGCCCCGAAACGTTTGTAATCACCTACAAGAGCAGCGTCACAACCGAGAAATCACCCACATCGTAATTCTTGTTTTTTGAATGGAATAAGCGCGTGTTGCCGACGTTTCGGAGAAGGTTACTGTTTCAATATTATCAGACTAATCTCACTACAGAACCCTTTTCAGTTCCATAAGTATCAATGCATCTCTTAATCCTTTCCTGTCTTTATGAATCAATTCATGGGACATGAGCAATGGACGAGAATGGTTTAAAATATTCTTATGGCGTTGAAACGCCAGAAACAGAATATACCAATTTTTTATAACTTGTTCCTAACCAGATGGCGTACCGAACCCGAAGGTTCATCACCGAATTAACCAAAGGCCTCCACCGGACCCTGTCCTGGGCCAACAAAATCCAGCCTCCTTCAACTCCTATCTCCCATAGATCCCGCCTGAGATTATCCTCCCATCTACGTCTAGGTCTCCCCAGCGGTCTCTTCCCCTCAGGCTTCC